GTCCTCCTGCGCCTGCCCTGGCGAGCGGGGGTCCTTGACGCGGGGCTCGGGCGCGCGCAGAAGCAGGGCGTGCGGCAGCGGGGGCCGAGGCAGGCGCGTCTTCTCCAGAAGGTCCCTGCAGGGGCACGGAGGTCGGCGTTTGCCGAGGTCCCCGCGCGACCTGGCTGTCGGTGCCCCGCGAGAGGGGACCCTCTGGCACCTCGGGGTCCCTTCGTGCCGGGGCCTGTCCCTCAGCACGCGGGCGACACCGCTCTCCACGGGAAGGGTCGGCCCTGGATCCCGCGCTCTCAGCGGGGTCCGACCTCTGGGCCCGAGGCTCTGTGCCGCGGGGCTCTCTGGCTGCAGACGCCCGCGGGCGCGGGAGCTGTGCTGCCCCAGGAGCCCCCAGGCCTGCAGCAGAGAACCCAGCCGGGTCGGGCCACCCCAGGGTCTGTCACCTCCGCCCGGTCTGGGCTCACCCTGTGCCCAGGCACCACACTCAGGAGGCCCCTGGGGGGCGGTGGCTTCCGGCTCCCACAGCCACAGAGCGCGTGTGCCCCCACACCTCATCCTCCTGGACCCCCGATGGCAGCAGCAGCTGCTGCCCTTGGACAGGCCTGGCCCACAGCTCAGGACCTGCGTCACGCCCTGACTCTGCCCTGGGACCACCCCGCCATCCAGGCAGACCAGCACACGGCCCCTTCCTGGGGTTCCCCTGGCCTGTGCACCCCAGGAGGACAGGTGCCTGCCCCTGCCATCCATCCGTCACTCCCAGGGACCCTTCGAGGTCAGGATTCAGCAAAGCAAGTGGACAGGAGGCGGAGTGAGCCCAGGGCCGCGGGGCCAGCCAGCTGCGAGGGGTCCACGCCCGGTGTGGTCTGCAGCTCCTCCCCAACAGCCACACAGACCAAGGGGAGCCCTGTGCTGCATGGACGCTGCGGCATCAGGGAGTGGGGGAGCAGGGCCAGGCCCCGGGGAGCAGCCCCTTCCACCCGCTTCCCCACACCGAGGGAGGGAGCTGTTTATTCACAGAGCTTCGACAGAGCCCTGGGCTCCGACGTACGCCAGGGTCTTCTCCCAGGCACTGCTGCCCTAGTGTGGGGTCTTCCCACCTTCCCCCGACCCTGGACAGATGACCCCAGCTTCACTGAGGCTGCAGAGGGTGGGAAGGAAGGGGGCGAGGGGTAGGTGGGGGATGGGGAGAGGAAAGGGCCCTCAAGGAGGGCAAAGGGAGGGAATGGGGGGCACTCACCGCGCTCCCTCCTCGCAAGCGGGCTCCAGTTCCTGAGGCTCCTGAGCATGGCTGCTCAGCGTGTCAGTGGGCTTAGGCCACGGGGGTGGCGCCCGGTGCAGCCGGCTCCATGCCTCGTGTGGGCTGGGGAGGCCGTGCAATGGGGAGCCCTCCTTGGGGGTAAAGATGCTGCACCCCGGAGCTGGTGAGGGGGCACGGGTCAGCAGCCAGGCCTCCCAAACCCGCCCTATCCTGGCCCGGGGACCCAGCCAGGGGGTCACTCACCCAGTGCGTGGCTGCCCAGCCCTCCAAAGGCATGGCTGCCCAGGCTCCCCAGGCCCCCAAAGGTGCCCGATCTGCTGAAGGGGTCTGCAGGGAGTGGGGGTCAGGGGTCTGTGGCCGGGGCACGGGTCCCCCAAACCCTGCCCGACTCTAGCCCACAGGTGCCAACCTAACCCTCCCACCCTCAGGGCACCCACCTGTCAGGTGGGTGGCAGGCAGGAAGCTGGTATGATGGACAGAGGGTGCCAGTGGGTGCGCGGCAGGGTGGGTGGCACCTGGGGGAGGGCAGCCAGGTTAGCAGAGGCCTGGAGAGCCACTGGGTGTCCTGCAACGTCCCTGAGAGCCTCTGCCGCCCACCGCCCCCTTCACCCGGCTGTGGAGTGAGGGTATCCAGCGGAGTGAGGCAGAAGCCAGTCCTGGGGCTGAAGGGAGCACGACCTTGGGCAGCCACCCTGGGGCCCAAGGGGCTGGGGCATGGTGCCGACAGCAAGGAGCCCCAGAGGAAAGAAAACGCTGAGAAAGAGTGACCTTGATCAGGCCATTCCTGAAGCCATCACCTCTGCCATGAGAGCTACCTGGGGTGGCGGCCGAGTCTTGGCCAATACCAGTCCGAGTCTCAGGTATGGAACACACAGCTCCTTACACGAACTCCCTGGACACAGGGCCCAGCCCAGCAGGCTGACCAAAGCCTCTGCCCTGTACCCCAACAACCCATCAGGCCTCCAGAACCAGATCTGGGGAACAGCTGTGGCACGAGGCTGAGGGAGATGCGAGGGCGCACCCAGTGCTGTGGCCAGGCAGGGGTCGGGTTGACTGGGGCACACAGCGTCCTAGAGCAGGGGGCCCTCAAGGTGGGTCAGGGCAACACCCAGAGCTTCTAGTCTGCACTGAAACCAACAAGAAAGCCGTCCCACGGGCGGCAGCTGGACAGAGGATGACAATGTGTCCAGCACAGCCGGTGTCGCCCAGCATAACCCTGAGGCACAAGGCTGGCCCTTGGAATCTGGGTTCTGGGAACTCAGGATCCTGGGTTCCGGGCGTTTCCTACGGGCCCATGCTGTACTGAGAGTCACACCTCCTGCCCCACAGACCGCGCTCCGTCACTGACGGCTCCATGCTCCGTCCCTCTGGGGGACACAGTCCCACCTCGGAGGCACCCACCCGGGGTCTTCACCTGTCTGAGGAGGAACAAAGCTGGAGCGCGGCCTCAGGAGCAGGGTCCTGCACAGGGTGGGGACAGGGCAGAGGAGGCCTCAGGACATGGGGTCAGCCACGCACAACTCGCTGGCTTTGGGGAAGGACCTTGGCCGGGCACATGTGGAGAAGGAAGGGCCCCGGCCACCCGGGTCTCACCTGTGCTGGAGAGGAGAGGCCGGGCCAGGTCCTGTGGGTAGTGGGGCCCAGAGAACATGCCGGGGGCAGGGGGCCTGCTGGACAGGTCCAGCTTCACGCCCACTTCCAGCGTGTGGGGGTCCAGTTGCAGCTGCGGAGGACAGAGTGAGTGTGGCGGGGGCCAGCCACCAGCCCAGGACCTTCCCACACCCCGTAACCCAGGGCCTGCATGGCAGCCGCCCCAGCCCAGGCACCGTCTCATCCGCGCCTCAGCTGCGTGAATTCAGTGAGGCACATCACAGACCACACTGTCCCAAGAGCTCCGGGTTTCCAAAGACAGAATGCAGGATCATTTCAGAAGTTGAATTTATTGAAGTCAAGTGAAGTGGAGCCGCCTGCCCCTCAGACTTGCTGGGCACCCGGCTACACAGGCCCTGCCACGGCCACACAAACTGAAGCCCCGCCAGTTTGTTTTGAGACAGGGTTTTGCTGTGCAGTTCAGGCCGGCCTTTCACCCACTATGGAGCCTGGGCTGGTCTCAGACTCATAGAGATCCTTCGCTCAGCCTGGCTTTTTTGACCAAGGGTCCTGCTATGCGGTTCAGGCTGGCTTGAACTCAGGGATCTTCCTGTCTCAGCCTCCCAAGTACTGAAATCACAGGCAGGCCTAAGGCCCATCCTGCCCATCACCAAGTGGATTGGATGCTCTGGGCCGGGGATAGGCAGGAGGGCCTGCTCCCTGACGTGGGGTGTGACCTCACCCCAGCTCTCACTGGGGGCAGCCAGGCAGAGCCCAGACACTGCAGCCTCTGGCTCTCCAAGGAAGTCACACTGCAGCGACACCCCCACTCCAGCCTCTGCGGGGAGCACCTGACTCTGCTGTCTCCTGAGGGTCACCCACACATCCGTGTGTCACATGGGCCTGCTGGGACTCAACTTTTCCTTCCCAGCGTGCAGAAGGCGTGAGAACTTCTAGCCACGTGGGGTATGGGGTTCCATGGGCTGTCCTGGCCTCCCGGGACCCTCCTCACCCAGCCACACCTGTGCGAGCACAGGGGGAGCCTGTGTCTGCCTCACCTTCACCCTCTGCTGGTGGTGGAGGATCTGCCAGGCGATCTGCACGTGCACTGCACACCACTTCCCTGGCTTCTGCGGTGGGACAAGCAGAGCTTGAGGGCCCCGTCGCAGGTACCCGGGCCACCAGGGGCATCTGTCCGTGCCCACACTCACCCTGGCCGTCCGGTATGGGTCAGTCACCTGTGGGGACAAAGCAGCAGGAAGTGATGGCTGGCTCTGCCTTGGCAAGAGCATGGCAGGGCGACGTCCAGAGCAGTGCTGCCCCAGTCAGGAGCGAGCAGGTGCTGACACCTACCCCGGGGGCTTTCTGCAGGAGGGCGTGGATGGCACTGGCTCGGCCGGGGACCTGGATTGGGTTTGCAGTCTGGGGCGGGACAGAGAGAGGAGCGTGTGACCAAGAGGAGGCCCCACCTAGGCAACCACTACACCTCTGTCCAGGGTCTGCCGAGGCACAGGGCATCCATGCAGGGATTGCACACAGCAGAGGCCAAGGCTGGGTCCGCGACCCTTGTGCCCAGTGTCCTGGCTCTGCTGGCTCCTTTTCTCCTGGGGAAAGTGGTAGCTGCCCACTCTGTACCCAACATCCTCTGCCGGTGCAGGGTGGGGCCCCAGCCCCTCTGTCCCTTGGGACTGGGCCCTAGGGGCCCTTTCTGCCCATGTGACCATGCTACCAGCTCAGGGGCTCTGTAGAGTTGGGGGCCCAGGACAGGTCTGGGCCGCCTCATGCATAGGCCAGCTGGGAGCAGCAGGTGGAAGTCACCAGGGCCCTTTCAGGTCCTAGGGTGGACAGTGGTGTCCCTTCCCCAGTGGTCAGTCTCACCAGACCTTGTGGAACCTGGCTGCCCAAAGGATGGCTCAGAGTGTCCCTGTCCTGGTCAGAGGTGCTTTATAACCTCCTGCTGTGTACACAGCCCATGTCAAACACCTTCTATACCAGGGCTGAAGCCCATAAGCGGTGGGCATGTGCAGGAAGCTCCTTTCTGCAGGTCGCTGCCCCTTGTCAGGAACACCTCTGGTCCAGAACTGTTCTCCCCCAACTCCCACCCTCATCCCCCACGTCCCTGGCCCAGCACGGCTGGTACCTTGGGCTGGAAAGCGCCCTGCAGGGACCCAAAGGGGCTGGCATGTGCAAGCAGGGCAGGCAGCCCCGGGACAGCAGAGGAGAAGGTCGGGAAGAGCTGCAAGAGAAAGAGAGGATGCTGGTCCCCAGAGCTCTCAGCGTGCCCCTGGCCCTTGGCCTGCACACAGGGACTCACGGTGGAATGTCGGAAGTAGGGGCTGTCCAGCTTGGGTGAGAACTTGTCAAACTGCAAGGGAAGGAGGAGAGGTGAGGATTCCCACATCCAGTACCCTCATGGGCCTGGTACCTGTCCCCGCTGGCCAGGTGGGCAGTGGCTAGACCTCTTTGCCTCCTAGGATGGTCAGCCCACAGTGGCTGTGTCCGGGCTCCTGAAGGGCCCAGCAGAGCCCTGGAGAAGGCACAAAACTGTTTAGGGGCAAGTAGAGGGTACGCCCAGCCTCTGACCATCCGGGACCTGGTCCAGCGAGGCAGCTGCTCCTGAGACAGGGAACACAAGAGCCTCCCTGGGCCCCAGATGCCGAAGGCCAGCATGGATGTGGCTCCTGGAGCAGTCCACATGCACTGGACAGCCAGGACAGTGGTCCATGATGGACCTCAGGTGTGACTTGGGGGATGGGCTCCAGGGGCCAGCAGACAGGCCCAGGCCGAGCAAGGTCTGTCCAGACAGGCAGATAGGCAGAGGGAGATGATGCCCACCCCCCACCCCATGTGCCAGCCTTGTGTGCCTGCCCCCCGCCAACATGTGGGCCTACGCACCGGAGGGGGTGCGGCAGGTGGCATGAGTGGCGCCGGGGGCAGCCCTGGGAAGGGGCCGAATGTGTGTTGGTGCTGGTGTGTGTGCTGGTGAGTGTGCTGGTGAGTGTGCTGGTGGAACTCGGCCCGCAGAAGGGCCCCCGAGCCCAGGGGGGCCGGCCGCTCTGTGCTCTGCACCAGAAACCGCGTGTTCAGCTCTTGCCTGAGCAGCTCCTGATCTACAAGAGAAAAGAGAGAGAGACAGAGAGGCACGTCGGCCACGGGCTCCCGCGGGGCGAGGCGGATAGTCACCTGGCACTTGCGGCTTCGGCAGGCCAGGCCTCGGGGGCCGCTTGCCAGGTGCGGGCCGGGGGGTGGAGGGAAGAGAGGAGCCTGTGACCAAGTACCAATCAGAATCCCCGCATGAGGCTGGCAATACATGATTGGCTGGCTGAGGGAGAGCAACAGGCTGGCATCTGGAGGCGAGAGAGAAGCCGTGAGCTCGCCGCCGTCCCGTCCCATGTGCCCTTCCCGTGGGGACACCGCTGACTCCACTCCACAAAGCCCGTGGAGGCCGGAGGAGGACTCCCTGGGGCCAAGTCCAGGACAGCTGAGGATGCAGCGGCGGGGCCTCTGTCACCTGGACCCTCTACACCCAACCCAGTGCCAAGGAAGGGGCAGGGACAGTGGTGGCCGGGGTCCAGGAGAGCGGGGAGGAAGGGTGTCTGCGGGACCACACCCGACGGGGGCCAGCCGAGCCCCCAGGGTCACCTACCTGCGGGGTGTCCGGGGACCACCAGGCTGCTGGGCAGCGCCGGGGGCAGTGTGGGCGCGGCGCACATGGCCGCAGGGTGCTGGTGCACCTGGGCCCGGAGCGCCAGGTGTGAGGTAGAGAGGTGGGGGCCCGGCCCTGGCGGTGACAGCGACCCGTGCTTCCCCAGGCCCAGCGGGGTGCCGCTGTTTGCGCTGCTGCTCCTGCTGGGGACGCAGGGCTCAGTGCCTCCAGCAGCCGAGGTCCCTGTCCCCACCCGCTGCCCGCCCGGCCCCACCAAGATGGGCCCAGCGCCCCACACTGCCCATCACCTAGGCCTACACGCCACGCCCCCACCCGTAACCACAGCCGACGAGCCCCGCCCCTGTAACTAATGCACTCCAGGCCGGGCGCGAGACCCCTATAGCCCCGCCCCAGCCCCGCCCCGCGTACCTGAGGCCAGTAAGGTGCAGGCCCGAGGGTGCCGCCTGGCCGGGGCCTGCGAACACGCCCAGGGGTGCAGGCTCTCGCGTCTGCGTGGTCTGTGTGGGCAGCGAGCCAAGGGGCTGCGGAGCCGTGGGCGGAGGGGCGTGGCGGAGCAACGCCTCGGTCCTCAGCAGCGGGGTGGCGCGGGCCCCGGGCGGCGCGGCGGGCAGGGTGGCCGCAGGCAGGAAGGGCTCAGTGCTGAGCTCGCGGCTGCGTTCCAGGCCGGACACCTTGGGCGCAGCCCCGACCCTGGCCTCCGATCTTTCCTCCGGCGCTGCGCCTGCAGAAAGGGTGGGCCCAGGGACCATCTCATCTCTTCGACCTCGAGGTCCAGGCCCGCCCACGCTCTTGGCAACTACGGGGCCCCTGGGTCACCCTCATTCCAGATGGGCAAGCAGGCTCAGAGGTCACGTCTTCGGCCCACGGGTAGGGCCTGTGTGGTGCCCTCTTACCAGCTCTCAGCCCCATGGCACAGGTGCCTAGAGGGGGACTGGCTGGTTTCCCACAGGTGGGAAACCTCTCCACCCCAGAACCCCCACTCCCTGCTCTGCTCCCCCGGCCCCAGCTGCATATGCCTCCCTCTCCCTGTGGAGCCCTGGTAGTTGGGGGAAGACTGCTCCCAGGCCGCTACCCATTGTCCTGGGCCACACCCCATTCCCGGGTGACCAGATCCCCTGAGGGTGCTGCTGGTCCCTGTGGAGCCTGAGCCCTGGGAGCTGGCTCCACCGTGCTCACCTGTGTCAGTCGCTGGGGCAAAGAGCTGCTCTGAGCCCACCGACACCTGAGGAGAGAAGAGGTCAGAGACCAGGGCTGGGGTGAGCTGGCCCTCAAAGCCCCCGCCATACCCACAAGTCCCTGGTGGGGCAGAGTCCTGCATGGGTCCCTGCCCCGACCAGCACACTGCACAGGGTTGGGGTCAGCCAGGCAGCAAGGGCAGATGAGGCTGGCAGGCACAAGGCTTGGGCTCACACCCTCTACAGCCAGGTGTGGCACAGCTTTGCTCTGGGTCCGTGTCTGGGCAGGTGACCACTCTGAGGGGCAAGCGCCACGACAGAGCTCCACGACAGAGATGTTTTCATGACACCTAGAGAAACACACATGTGGCCTCGTGTCCACTGTGCTCTGCAGGACCCTGCAGCAGCTCTGGAGAAAGCTCAGTGATGGCAGCCCCAGGCGGATCTTTCTTTTTATTTATTTATTTATTTGGTACCGGGAATCGAACTCAGGACCTTGCGCTTGCCAGGCAGGCGCTTGTGCTGCTGAGCTATATCCCTGGCCCCCAGGGGGATCTTTTCTTCCCGGTCTTTCCCTTTCTGTCAAGCAGCTTCACTGAGGCATGGACTGCATGTGTGCCTCAAAATCTACCCAGAGAACCCCACCCCTAAGGTGATGGTGCTGGGCCCCAGGGAGGTCAAGGCCAGAGGCCTGGTGCATGGATCGGTGTCCTCCATGTACCCTGCCCCCAACACAGCAAGAAGTAGCCTTCTCCAGACACAATCTCTGCAGCCGAGGCCATCCCACACTCTGGACAGTGAGAGCAAGCCCCGACCAGCCTCCAGCACTTTACTCCAGCAGCCCACGCCCCAGGGACACAGTTCACGCACCAAGGGCCACCCACTAAAGCACCGATGTGACTCGGCAACTTAGGGGCCTCCACGAGCCGCACACCCGTCAGCACACCCACAGAGCCTTTTCTGCACCCTGGAGAGAGACCCTGCCGTCCAGCCTCCATCCCGGCCTCCCGCCCTGGGCTGGGTCTGTGTGCTCACGCAGCATTGGGCTGCACGGTCAGCTCTGGCACTGAGCTCCGCCCTGTGGCAGGGAGCCTCCTGGATGGACTTCAAGTACACTGCCCGACGTGGGACAGCACACTGCCTGGGGCGGATGTGCATGTTTGTATGCACATGTCTGCAGGCAGATGCACACTTGCATGTACACACGTGTGCCTATCCATTTTGTTTTTTGTTTTTCTTCCAGTACCAGGAATCGAACTCATGAACTTGCGCTTGCCAGGCTGGCACTGTGCCGCTGAGCTAAATCCCCAGCCCCACCTATCCGTTTTCATACACTCATGTTCACGTGCCTGCGTGTACAGATATAGCGCCATGTGTGATAGGGTGCACTGTGGCTGCGTGTGCAGGGTATTAGGTACACAGAGCTGTGCATGCACCTGTGTCTGTCAGCAAACCTCAGGGAGGGTGCAGAGGATACGTGCCCGGCTGGGGACAGCAGCCACTTCAGGGACGGCTAGGGCTGGGGCTGGGGCTTCAGAGACTCAGCCTCACCTCTCCCGTCTCACAGGAGAGCGAATTCAGCCACTACTCATGTGATTAAACTGTGATAACGAAGGAAGTGCACAGCCTGAGGGAGTGGTGAGGTTTGTGTTGGGTGTGGGCAGTGAGGGACAGTGCTGGGTGTGAGAGGCAAGCGGGACAGTCCTTGCCCAGATCAGAGGAGGGCCCAAAGGCCAGGAAGGGCACCTTGCCCAGGAGCTGTACATGAAGATGCCTGCTGGCCATGCTGTGCCACTCACTCCACCCTGCCCGTGCAGGACAGCTCTCGACAGTCCGCACAGCCCAGTCTGACAGAGGCCAGACTTCTGCTTTGCCCAAGGCTTGGCAGGGGTGGCGGAGGTGCAAGGTGTCTGGCCTCTGGCATCCACCAACAGGCAAAGCAGAGTGCCCAGCTGCACCACGGCCACCTCAGCACGGCAGGAGGGGCTGCTGACATGCATGCACACTGGCCTCCCTTGGGACACCAGGCCCCACACAGCAGGTGTCACTGGCCCACTGTGAAGCCTGCAGCACCCACTGAGAAGGCAGCGCAGGGTGCTGGGCGAAGGCGGTGCACAGCCTATCAAACAGGGCATCTCACAGCAGAAGAGCCACAGTGCAGAGGGAGGCAAGCAGAACCTAAAGGACACCGGGGTCCAGGCAAAGCCTCAGCATCTGGAGGGCACACAGGTGTGTCAGGGGGTCCAATTCACGGTGTGGGAAGCAGCTTTATACTTAGAAAAAGGGAAAGTGAACTAGAAGAGGTGGCCCATACCTGCAGTCTCAGTTACTTGGGAGGCTGAAGCAGGAGGACCTCAGGTTTTTTTGGGGGGTGGTGGTTACTGGGAATCAAACTCAGGTCTTTGCGCTTGCCAGGCAGGCACTGTGCTGCTGAGCTATATCCTTGGCCTAGGACCCCAAGTTTGAGGTTAGGGTTAGCCAGGCCTTGTCTCAAAATAAAAAGCCTGGGATATGGTTCAGTGGTACAACACCCCTGGGTTCTACCCCCGGTACTACACACAGAGAAAGGGAGGTGGAATTTCTGTTTCATCTCCCCTCTCAACCATCCCAGACAGGGCACAGGCACACAGGAAGAACCCCCAGCAGCATGACTGGGCGCTTCCTGCTCCCCTCACACCTGCCTCAGGGCAGGGCACACAGAGCCGCCAGAGGGGCTGGGATCTAGGTGACATGGAAGGGACTGTTTTCTGTTCTTGGACTGCAAGACTGCTGGGCACGGAGCATGCTCAACAGAGGGGCAGGGGGGGACCCTCCTGCTGCCCACCCTCAGGACCCTAGCACCCTGGACATCCATCCTCCAGCATAGGCCCCTGGCTCCCAACCTTACCAGTGGTTCCTGTGGGTGAGGAGTCTGCCTGGCCAGGGTGGGTGAGCTACCTGCAGCTCTGAAGTCAGGGTGTGCAAGCCCCGCTTCAGGGAGGGGTTTCTGCTCAGAGCAGCTCAGCTCCTGGCCCTTTCAGGGGTTTCCACTTAGTGCCACCAAAGCCTTGGAGTCCCTGAGTCACCTCACACACAGGAGAGGGTGTCCCTCCCTGGTCCTCCGCCACATGGCACCCAGAGGCAGGGATGCTCCAGGAACCAGACAGCTGTGCACAAGGACCTTCCTTGTGGCCCTGAGCGGGGTGCAGTCACCTCCGCTGTGGACCAGGCTGAGTGCCCCGGTGTCAGCTCCTGTTTCCTCTGTGCCCCTCTGGTTTGTGTCTCTTACATCCCTAGAACCAAGTCAGAGCAGGGTGCCCACTGAGAACCTCCTAGGGCCTGCACGGCTCCTGGCTGCACAGACTCTGGGTGCCCTGACCCCACGACGGGCTCTGGCACTCAGGGCTGTTGTGGTCTCTGCTGGGGCCTGGACCCACCCCTCCTGCACTGGAGGGTGCCTACCCCTTCCTCATCCCGGCTGCCTCCTCCACAGCTGGGCAGCAGCCCCGGGAGGGTGGGAGGTCAGTGGGGCGTGGGGGCCAGCTGGGTGGCAGCTGCATCTGCTAATGAGCCCGGCAGGGGGTGGTCTCATTGTCTGGCAGGGGTTCTGGGCTGTAGTACAGCACTGACTACTCCAGCGCCTCAGAGTCCCAGCACACACAGCCGCTGGAGGAGCAGCGTGGGGCCAGGGAGCAGGGCCGGGGAGAGGAAGCCGGGGCCAGCAGGACTGCAGCCCCGCCCGCCGGAACAGAAAGCCGCGAGTGGGGCGGGGGTGAGCACAGTCCTGGCCACGTGCAGGAGCGCTGTGGGCTCCGAGGCTCCGTCCCCCTCTCCAGCACCCACACAGAGGACCCAAGTTCAACTTCTCGGGTGGAGCATGGGCGCCCTGTATTCGCCCCAGAATACAGGGGGGCCGAGAGGGGTAGAGGCACAGGTACTGCCAGAGTCCCACACCGGGTGTCCCGTGGCCCCGCTCCCAAACCCACCCTACGAAGAGCCGGCGCCCAGGTCCTGGTCCCCGCAGGCGTCCCGGGCAGGACCCTGGGTCACCCCGTCGCCGGCACAGACGCGCGCCCCTGCCCTGCCGGACCAGCCCGGCAACTTCCCAGCCTTGGCCGCCGCCAGGACCCCACGCAAAGGAGGGCTCTAACATTTCGTCTTCGAAGCCCTGACCGCGGCGGCCCCGCCCGGAACAAAGAACTCAACTCCGCAGGTGAGCGCCGCGCGGGGCGCAGACAAAGGCGCAGCTCCCCCGGTTCCCGCCCCGGCCCCGAAACCCGCTCCCCGCCGGGTCCGAGCGCACCGACCTCGGGGGCGCCGGGTCCCGCCGCTCGCCGTGATCGCAGCGCCTGCTCAGCCTGGCCCGGCCCG